ATACATATATAGTATACATATAAATATACATTCATGCATACAATGAAACCTATACGCTGCATACATGTTTCTACATATCTTCCTGCTCTACGGGGGGGCGCCCCTGTATCAAGTGGGCGTGCATATGTACACGCACTACGCGCGCAAACACTAATTCAAATCTGCCCGCAGCTGGACTACGAACGCGTTGCTGCTCGCTGCTGGCCAACGATGCTGCGCGAGCTGAAGAACGAGGAGAATTCCCACCACTCGATACAAGAAAGAATGCACATCGCAAAAAATCTGCACCCGTTGTCGAGGGTCAGTTCGCATCGCACTTTCGTCGCACCTCGGCCTCTTCCACACATGAAGGACTCGAGGGCCTCGGCAGAAGCGTCGCCGCGAGAACCCGCCAGCGCGATTGGCGCCCTTCGGTGCAGTTGAATATTTGCCCCTAGCGCCTCCAACAGCTTGACCCTGCGCTGTTCCGTGCAATGCATGGCCAACACCAGGATCAATAGGGCGCGTCGGTTCGTCTCGTTAGCCTTGGAAGCCTGGGCCATGGACACATCGGGAAGATCGGCGGGCTGGAAGCACCCCGCCTCCCGCGCTAACGCCAACCGAGCGTCGGCCGACTGGGCCAAATCCTCTACCTTGGTCGCGAGCACCGAAGGGAAGCCACTCGCAGCTGCAACCCTTCGCGTCAATGGTCGAGCCGAACCGGAAGGCAAGGTGTTGAAGCCTTTCCGCACCTTGCGCGGGGCGCGCTTCTTGGGCGGGGCCACGGCGCGATCCAGTGGCCCCCGCTCCCCCATCCAAGAAGAGGCGCGGTGCGCCACAACGCAAGGGCATTCGACGTCCAAACTGCACACCCATAACGGCTTTGCGTTCCTGCTTTTCTCTCGGTGGAATCTTTTGGTCGAGGGCAGCGCCTTGACGCCAACGTCTTTGGCCCACTGCTCCCAAGCCTTCGGCCCCGTGGTGAGCATGGCCCGATGGGGCGGAAAGTTGCTTGGTTTGTAGCTTTGCACCCGCGTGCTCTGCAGCTTCAACAACTCGAGCAAGCGCGGGTCGCCCGCAAAGCCCCGAGAAAGTCTGCTTCAACAGGGGCCACGGGAGGGCCCTCTGCAACGAGCAAGCCAGCGCTGAGGAGTTCGTCCAACGGTCTCTCGACCACCGAATCGAGCACATCAAGGTAAACGCCGCCAACGTACCACACCGCCACCACTCGGGCCATATCCGCCTGCTGTATCCAAAGAACTTTGCCCTGCGGCTTGCACTGCAGCAAAAGAACTACCATCTCGCGGACATCGTCGGGCAGCGCGCGGGCCATGTCAAAGATGCTGTTGGGCCTGTAAATGGCACCGCCCCAACCGGGGCACTTCCGCAACCAGGCCGTAAAATTCGAGACCACCTGGTCGGGCATCTCTGCATCCATATAGCCCCAAACAGCAATGAAGAATGGAGGAATCGGCATCCGGAATTTCAGTTCTGGGCTCCGCGGGTCTGCGGTTATGCACTTGCAGCGCTGGGATCCGCAAGTCGCCGGTGCCTCAATAGCTATGGGGGAGAAGATGGGAGGGGGGATAATAATCAACGCGGCATGGATTCTCCCAACCCACGACGCTCGACGTTGGGACATCGCCCTCGTTGGATGGGTCGCTCTCCTTCTGGCCCCGGGAACGTCCAAGTTCGCGATGGACCGAAGGCGTCAACGCGCTTTCGGGGATGGCGCCTTTCAGAACACCCCCGTTATGCCGAGGGAAAAAACCGCGCGTGGTTATTTTTAACTGTTTTGAAAGCTTCCACCGCCGATCGTCGGCACACCCGCACGCCGCCATATTATTCTCGCGCCCCCCCCCCCCAGGACCCACGGCAGGAAATAACTCCCCGGCGCAGGCCGCAAGACGCGAGCATCCTGGCGCAACCTGAATGGGATGGGGGGAAGCCGCTGCCGTCGGTATTTTGACCACAACATCACTCGAGCAACCCAGCAAAAAAAAACATATGCTGTTTCTGATGGGCGGGAGAGGGGGGCCTCGCTGCCAGAGGAGCAGTTGCCGCGCGAAACGTGCCCATCCTCGCGCCCCTGGAGTCAGCCGCATGCGAAACAACACTCGCCAACCCAGACCGCAAGGCACGATTCTGTCGACGCAACCGCGGAGTGGACTGCGGAGGAGCCGCTGCTATCGAATTCGAAGCCACAGCGGCACTGAGGCACCCCAACGAAATTCGCGTAGACGTTCTTGTCGGAGGAAGGTCTGGATGCCAGGGGATCTACCGCCGCGCGACAGAACGCGACCATCCTCGCGCCCCTAGCGCCAACCGCATAAAGAAAGCACACTCGCCAACACAGACCGCAAGGAACAATCCTGGAGCGGCCGTTGAGGGTTCATTTTTTTTTTGCGCGATGTTCGACCTGTCCAAAGCCTCCCGCGCGCCTCCAGGGGCGAAGCCCTCCAGGAGGCACTCGCGGGAAACAAAAAAAAACTTGCTTCAAAACCTCCGCCGCCGCGCGCTGGGACATCCGCGCGCCGCGAGTTCTGGCTCGCGTGGCTTTTGTCAGAGCCCCCCTTGCAATGTTGCGGCTTGGGCGGGGCAGCGCCCCGCGTCACTAATCCCCCCCTTCTCTAACGCCCCCTCATCCCCCCCCCCCCCCCCCCCCCCCCCCCCGCCCCCCCCCCCCCCCCCCCCCCCCCCCCCCCCCCCCCCCCCCCCCCCCCCCCCCCCCCCCCCCCCACCCCCCCCCCCCCCCCCCCCCCCCCCCCCCCCCCCCCCCACACCCCCCCCCCCCCCCCCCCCCCCCCCCCCCCCCCCCCCCCCCCCCCCCCCCCCCCCCCCCCCTCCTCCCCCCCCCCCCCCCCCCCCCCCCCCCCCCCCCCCCCACCCCCCCCCCCCCACCCCCACCCCCCCCCCCCCCCCCCCCTCCCCCCCCCCCCCCCCCCCCCCCCCCCCCCGCGCGTGCATCGTGGAACCTCAACTTGCGGGCGCGTGATTCCGCGCGCGGGTAAGACTCGCCGCCGCGCGTCGGTAATGCGGCGCTTACCTGCGCCTGCAAGACGCCGCGCACTTTCTTCGAAAAGGATACCGCACATCAACATCTGAGGGGGGCGCCCCCACGTATATATACATATGTGTGTGTATGTTTGGAATATATACATATATGCATGTATATTCCTACACGCATGTATATATATATATATATATATGCATACAGTTCCACCCCTGCACTACATATATGCTTCTGAACATATTCCTGCGTTGCGGGGGGGCGCCCCTGTATCATCTGAGTGCGCGTGTGTCCATGCACTGCACGCGCAAAAACTAATTGAAATCTGCTCGCGGCCGGCAACAGGACGCGCTGCGGCTCGCTGCTCCCCAGCCTTCGGCACCGTGGTGAGCATTGCCCGATGGGACAGAAAGTTGCTTGGTTTGCATCTGCACACCCGCGTGCCCTGCTGCTTCTACAACTCGAGCAAGCGCGGGTCGCTCGCGGAAGCCCCGAGACAATCTGCTTCAAAAGAGGCCGCGGGGAAAGCCCTCTGCAACGAACAGGGCAACACTGAGCAGCCCGTCCAGCGGTTTCTCGACCACCGAATCGACCACTCAGGGTAGACGCCCGCAACGTACCAGACCACCGCCACTCGGGCCACATCCGCCTGCGGTATCGAGAGAACGTTGCCCGACGGATTGCGCCGCAGCAAAGGAACCACCATGTCGCGGGCGCCGTCGGGCAACGCGCGGGCGAAGGATGGTGTCGGGCGCGTAAATGGCACCGGCCCGACCAGACAGTTCTGCAACCAGGCCGTAAAAGTCGAGGCCCTTGGGCGGGTATCTCTGCATCCAAATGACACAAAAAAGAAATGGAGAATGGAGAAATCCGCATCCGGATTCTGCGCGTCGCGGGGCACTTGGCCATTCGCTTTCCGTTCTGGGCTCCGCGGGATCTGCGGCCATGCACTTGCAGCGCTGGGACCCGCAAGTTGCCGGTGCCTCAACAGATATGGGAAAGGAAGATGGGAGAGAGGATAATAATCGACATGCTATGGAACATCCCAGCCCACGAGGGCCTCTCAGATAGCTCGTTGGGTCTCTCTCCTCCTCCTCTTCTCCTCTCCTCCTCTCCTCCTCTCTCTCCCTCTCTCTCTCTCTTCTCTCTCTCCCTCTCTCCTCTTTCGCTATCTCTCTCTCTCTTTTTTTTTTTCCTCTTCTCTCTCTCTTCTCCCCTTCTCCCTCTTCTCCTCCTCTCTCTCCTCTCTCCTCTCTCTCCCTCTCTCTCTCTCTTCTCTCTCTTCTCTCTCTCTTCTCTCTCTATTCCTACCTCTCTCTCTTCCTCCTCTCTCTTCTCTCTCTCTCTCCATCTCTCTCTCTCCTCTCTCTCTCCTCCTCTCCTCTCTTCTCTCTCTCTCTCCTCCTCTCTCTCTCTTCCTCTCTCTCATCTCTCTCTCCTCTCTCTCTCCTCTCTCTCTACTTCTCTCTCTCTCTCTCTCCTCTCTCTCTCTCTTTCTCTCTCTCTCTCTCTCTCTCTCCTCTCTCTTCTCTCCTCTCTCTCTCTCTCTTCTCTCTCTCTCTCTCTCTCTCTCTCTCTCTCTCTCTCTCTCTCTCTCTCTCTCTCTCTCTCTCTCTCTCTCTCTCTCTCTCTCTCTCTCTCCCGCTCTCGCCAGCGCGTGGCCACGGTCGCGGCGAGGCAGGCGCGCAGCCGAGCTCGGGGGGGGATGGGGGGGAAGGAGGCGGGGGAGGGGGAGAAAGGCGGAGGCGGTGGAGGCAGAGGGGGGCGAGGAGGAGGAGAGATGCTGGAAAAGGAGTTGCACCTCGGGCCAGCCTCACCCCACGCGTTTCGGATCGCCCTCCTCGGAATTCAAACCCTTTTCGTCGCCTTTGGGGCCCTTGCAGGGCGGCGGGGGCTGAGAACTCGCCCTCTCGCGCGGGCAGCGCAAAACCTTGTGTTTGATGTGATCGGACAAACAAGCCTTCACAACCGTGTCAAGATAACCCACCCGACATGTTAAGTCAAATGCAGCTTTCTTCAGCTCACGGTTCTGCCTCGCGGATTCGCCCATGTCCTTCTTTGCCTGCAACATCTCCAAGCTTGAGCGGCTGCATGCTGTGAACGTAGCCTCGAGCCCTGACTGCAAGCAATCCTCGAGACCATCGTCCATGCTCTTGTCCTTGCCTGTGTCCTTGCCTGCGCCTTTCTCTGCCTGCAAGTTGTCCTTGCCTGCGCCTTTCTCTGCTGGTGGCGAGCGGGATCGGTCGCGGGGGCCATCGGGCATCGATAACAATGGTTTCGAACGAGGCCCTGACATGCGCGCTGAGCGCGCGGAGAGTACTCGAGCCAATTCGGCCACTCACGAGAGGGGTCTGGGAATCAACATCATATGGGATATCCCAGCCCACGAGGTTCAACGCTGGGACATCGCCCTCGTCGGATGTTTTCGCTCTCTTTCCAGCCCCAGAACGTCCAGGTTCGCGACTTGTCCGAAGGCTTCAACGCGCTTTCGGGAATGGCGCCCTCCAGGACACCCCCGCGATGCCGAAAGAAAAAACCTCCTTTGTATAAAAAAGAATTATTATTATTATCGTTTAGCTATATATATATATATATATATATATATATGTGTGTGTGTGTGTTTCTTTTATAAAAATACGCCGACGGAGGGACCCCACATGATAATCTCTTCAGCTTGCATGGGGGTATCCTCCTGCCCCTTCTCCCACCTACTCTTGCCTCCTCGTTCTCCTGTCTGCTCCTCCTCCTGCCTCAACCCCTGCCTCTTCCTCCTCTTCTAGCCTCCTCCTCCTCCTCCTCCTCCCCCTCCCCCTCGTTATGCTTCCTCCCCCCCATTCCCCCTGCCCCTCCTGCCTCCTGCCTCCTCCTCCTGCTCTCCCTCTCCCTTCTCCCCTGTCCCTCCTGCCCCTGCTCTCCTCCTCCTCATCCCCTGTCCTCCTCCTCTCCCTCTCCCTCATCCGCTTCCTCCTCCTCCTCCTCCTCGTTTCCATATTCCTCCCCCCTCCTCCCCCCCCCTCTTCCTCCTCCTCCTCCTCCTCCTCCTCCTCCTCCTCCTCCTCCTCCTCCTCCTCCTCCTCCTGCCTCCTCCTTAGGCCTCCTGCCCCCTCCTGGGGCCTCCTGGGGCCTCTTGGGGCCTCCTGGAGCTTTCTGGGCCTTCCGGGACCTACTGGGGCCTCCTCGGGCATTCCTCCTCCTCCTTTTCCTCCTCGTCCTTCCTCCCCTCAGCCTCTTCCTCTTCCTGCTTTCCTGTCTCGTCCTGCATCATCCCTCCTCCTTTTCCTGGCAATCCTCCTCCTCCTCGTCCTCGTGCGGAACACGACCCAGAGGAAGCGCACGACGTGCGTTCCAGCCGATACGCGCCGGAGGACGACCCAGAGGAAGCGCGCGCCGGAGGATGACCCGGAGGAACCACGTGAGCTGCGGGACCCATAGGAAGGCTCCCGCCTGACGCGTCCTGGCAATTCACTCACAGACGAGGGTCCCGCTTGATACTTCTTCCAAAATTCAGACCTGAGGAGCCCAAAAGTTACGACAGTTACAAGAATCCGATGACCCGCTCGGATTAGTAACATGATCTGCGGGCCCCATAGGGAGGGGGCTCCCGCCTGAGACTTCCTCACAATTCACTCACAGACGAGGTTCCCGCTTGATACTTCCTCCAAATTCAGACCTGAGGAGCCCAAAAATGACGACGGTTACAGGAATCCGATGACCCGCTCGGATTAGTAACATGATCTGCGGGCCCGTAGGGTCGGCGGGCCCGTAGGGATGGGGCTCCCGCCTTGAGACTTTCTCACAAGTCACTCACATCACTCACAAGACGAGGCTCCCGTTGATACTTCCTCCAAATTTCAAACCTGAAGAGAGCCCAAAACAAAATGACGACAGTTTACAGGATCCGATGACCGCTCGGATAATAAACTTGGTTGCGGGCCCCATAGGGAGGGGGTTCCCGCCTGAGACGTCCTCCAAAATTCACTCACAGACGAAAGTTCCCATTGATTTAACTGCTTCCAAATTTTCAAACCTGCGGAGCCAAAAGTGGGAGACCTCACAGTTACAAGAATCCGATGACCCGCTCGGATTAGTAACATGATCTGCGGGCCCCATAGGGAGGGGGCTCCCGCCTGAGACTTCCTCACAATTCACTCACAGACGAGGTTCCCGCTTGATACTTCCTCCAAATTCAGACCTGAGGAGCCCAAAAATGACGACGGTTACAGGAATCCGATGACCCGCTCGGATTAGTAACATGATCTGCGGGCCCCATAGGGAGGGGGTTCCCGCCTGACGCGTCCTCACTATTCACTCACAAACGAGGCTCCCGCTTGATACTTCTTCCAAATTCAAACCTGAGGAGCTCAAAAAATGACGACAATTACAAGAATCCGATGACCCGCTCGGATTAATAACATGATCTGCGGGCCCCATAGGGAGGGGGCTCCCGCCTGACGCATCCTCACAATTCACTCACAGACGAGGCTCCCGCTTGATACTTCCTCCAAATTCAAACCTGAGGAGCCCAAAAGTGACGACAATTACAAGAATCCGATGACCCGCTCGGATTAGTAACATGATCTGTGGGCCCCATAGGGAGGGGGCCCCCGCCTGAGATTTCCTTGCAATTCACTGACAAACGAGGCTCCCGCCTGATACTTCCTCCAAATTCAGACCTGAGGAGCCCAAAAGTGATGACAGTTACAGGAATCCGACGACCCGCTCGGATTAATAACATGATCTGCGGGCCCCATAGGGAGGGGGCTCCCGCCTGAGACTTCCTCGCAATTCACTCACAGACGAGGTTCCCGCTCGATACTTCCTCCAAATTCAGACCTGGGGAGCCCAAAAATGACGACAATTACAGGAATCCGATGACCCGCTCGAATTAATAACATGATCTGCGGGCCCCATAGGGAGGGGGCACCCGCCTGAGACTTCCTCACAATTCACTCACAGACGAGGCTCCCTCTTGGTGGATGATGGTGATGGGATGATGACGACGGTGTTTGATGATGATATATGATTGATGATGATAATGATGATGGTGGTGGTGGTGATGATGACGACGTGATGATGATGATGGTGGTGGTGATGATGAGTGCTGATGATGAGTGATCGTGCGATTATGATGGTAAATGGTGGTGATGATGATGGGGACGAAGTGGTGAGTCAGCGAGTAGCGATGATGATGATGATGATCGTTCGATGCCGATGATGGTGAGTGATCGCGCGATGGCGATGGTGATGCTGATGGTGATGATGACGATGACGAGTGGGGAGTGATGGTGATGGCGATGACGATGCGGATGAGGAAGCAAAGAGGAGCAGAGGAGAGGGAGGAGGACGAGAGATCCTGCGCGGAGGGTGCGCAGAGAAAACAAGAACCCCACTTAGGACGTGGGGGAAAAATCTCAGACCTGCCACCGCCGATCACTGGCGCACCCGCAAGGCGCGAGATTATTCTCGCGCCCCCCCCCCCCCCTCCCCAGGACCCAGGGAAGGAGATCACTCCCCAACACAGGCCGCGAGACGCGATTATCCTGGCGCAACCTTGAAGCGGGCTGCGGGAACGCCGCTGCCGTCGGTATTTTGACCACAACAGCGCTGGAGCAACCCAGCACATAAAAAAAAACACATGGTTTCTGATAGGCGGGAGAGAGATAGAGAGGGAAAGAGGAAAAGACATAGCACCTAACCCAACACAAGGGCAAGACATATAAGGCCTGTATAGTTACCGGGTCTAACCATAGAGCACCGTGTATATCGAAGAGAAAGTGATGGTCAATAGATCTGCAAGGGTGGACGCCCCCATCACCGCCACGAGCTGCAAAGATATCTGGAGGGAGGGCCTCAGCATGGGCCGAGGACTCAAGAGGCAAAAAAGAAGATTGGAGGAGCATGGCTTGCCTAAGATGCAATACCAGATAACGAATGAGTTCATAAACCCGATTCTCCTTCCACGCACCAGCGAGGGCGCCATTCTTCTTCCCGCTCTCGAATCCAACACTGACACCGTCCTTGAAGCCCTGCGCGTAGGCGCTCTGCCACGCCGCCGATTCGCTGGGCGTCAGCGCTTTTGTCACCACTGCCGTTGTTGCACCCGTTGCTGAGCCCGTTGTTGCTGCATCTGCTGGGGCCGCTGCATCTGCGGAGGCTGCCGCCACCGCTGCATCTGCTGATGCTGCCACCCCCGCTGCAACTGAAGCTGAGGCTGCAGTTCGTTTGGGGCGCTTCCTTTCCGGAGGACTGGGAGTCTGCGGGGCCCCCGGCAAGCCCCGGGCCTTCTGGTCAGCTGGCGGCGGCGCGGGCGGCGCCGGCAAAGGCGCTGATGACGGCGCCTCTGCTCGCCCGCCACGCACGCTGCCCATTTGGCAGAGCCCAAGTCGACCTTGGCCGCGCCAGCGCCGGGGGCGGCGGCGCTGGGGGCGCTGGCGGAAACTGCGGAACCGCCCGCTGCAGCTCACCGCGCGGCTGCGCTGACTGTGGTTGTGGTGGCGGATGCCGCGGAAATGTTGGCTGCAACTCCACGATCAGCCGCGCTGGTTGTAGTTCTGGCGGTGGCGGATGCAGCGGGGGCTTCGGCTGCCGCTGATCGCGCGGGCGCGCTTACTTTGGTCGAGGTGCCCGTTGTCTCCGAGGCGACGGCTGCAGCGATGGTGGCCTGTGCCAAGGTGCTCTCTTTACTCGTATCGGCTGTCGCTGCGGAGGCACTGACTGTGGTTGGGGTGTCTGCTGCTGCGCAAGCGCTAACTGCGGCTCCGGGTGCGGCTGCGGCGTCGCTGTCTGTGGCAGCGCCGCGCGAGTGCCCCCATCCGCTGCAGACGACTTCCACGTGCCCCAGTTGTCATCATCATCCATGTCGGTCTCAGTGACCAACGGCTGCGGGCCTAGCGACGCATCCTCGGCAGCAGCGGCATGCGGCGGGGGCGCTTGCGCATCGGCAACGGCTGACGAAGCCGACGCCGACGCGGCGCCCAGCGCCGCCCCATCGCCCACGCGTCGCTACCCCCGCGGGAAAACGCCCCTCACGGGCTGCGCGCTGGAGCCGCAACGGTTTCGGCGTTGGGGGGCTTCTGAAGGAGGACCTGCGTCGAGCATGGCATCGCGACACATCAGCGCTCGTCGCGCCGAATACAATAATAATAATAAAAATAGATATAAAAAAACGCATGTGGTTTCTTTACTGGTCTCGCAGAGTCCACCGCCGATCGCTGAGACCTCCG